CGGAAGCTCTTTTCAAAAGTATGTACATGCGCAGTTATTCAGCAACCACACGTTAATTTTTAATTTCTCTTTTGTAAACTGAAGAAGTATCATCTATGGTCATACTCCAAAAATAACCAGCCAACATTGATTGACTTCACATGCGAAGCATTGGTTAGCGATGCTGGCTTACAGTGTGTTCGATACTCATTTGTGACTTTGTAGCTCATGTTAGTCAAGGAATAGCAATAAGCCGTCATTTATATATATATATATATATATATATATATATATATATAATCCCTTCCTGACGATCCGCTTAGGTGAAACCTTGGTAGGTTTGTCTGGTTCTCTAGGTTTAACTAACTAACTATATATATATATATATATCATTATTATGGTAAAGGCTTTGTGCAGAACCAACCACACTTTTTGAAGAATACAGAGACTCCAATGACCCTCCGCAGTTGTACTTCTTCCAGACTAATTGCCATCTAAGGCGATAGAACCCAGTCTATCCTTATATTTAGCCATAGCTGGGGGGGTTAATAAGAGGATTCATATCATTCCCAAAGTTATTAACACATAAGTGAATTGATTCGACTGGAATTCAAACTTGGTTCTACGATTCCTCAATCCGAGATGCTATCCATTACGCCACCATGTCAATATATATATATATATATATATATATATATATATACGCACATATGTATATCTTACTTATTATAAAACACAGATTGTGTGTATGTGTGTGTGTGTCTGTACGTTTATATATTGGATCGGATTTCCTACATTTTTCAAACAATTTCAACAAAACTTAACAGGACTACGTAAAATTACCTTGCGGTGGTTCTGACAGCGCCAAAAACTGGAAAAACACAATTGTTTTTGCACGAAATCAATTTGAAAACACGATTAAGAGCCATCACGAGAATGAAAGGGGGACAACTCATATCGAGTTATACTTAATATAAAACCCAGGTTGTTTGTGTGTGTGTGTGTTCGTTTATATATGGGATCAGATTTCCTACATTTTTCAACCGATTCCAACAAAACTTCACTTTTTTTTTTTGGCAGGTCGCGTTTCTTATTGTCTTGCACACTTTTTTATTTTTAAATACAGAATGCTTTAAAAATTCCATTTACAAGACAATTGTTTATAATAAAATTCTATTCAATCGATAGACTCATAACGATTGAAAACAATGCTTTGTTTGAGTTTGATCAATTCGTAAAAAAAAAAAACTAATTAAGACATGCGTGTCCGTCAACCTTAAACAATAATCTTTGTCAATTTTATTTTTCAGTCTTTATGATGGTCGATACTTGATCTATCTCTTACTGTTACATCCCCGGGCAACGCCAGGCTGTACTACTAGTATATATATATATATATATATATATATATATATATATATATATATATGGAATAATATATATATATATATATATATATGGTGGAATAATGGATAACATCAGTACCGGTACTTTTTCGTTGAATATGGTAGACAAGGAAACTGTGAAGTTTTTTTTACTGAATTTTACTGAGTTTTTCAAGTGTTCTTAAAATTTTCCGTTTAGTCGGGATAAGGGAACGTAAAAATTGTCCGTAGTGCCTTTTGTCACAAGTGCTTTCGCCCACTTCTTGTTTGTTTTTGTTAAGTGTTATTAATTACGTTTCACGGCTATCGTTCTTTAAAGATGTAGTTGTATGATTCCTATATAGTAGCTGCATGCGAGCCCCGCGGAAGGAACTTGACTGGAATTCGAGTTGATGTCCTTCAGTTTAAAAAAAAAATCGTTTCAGCACTTTATTTCCGATGTTAAATAACGTGAGATTAATACTTGGTGCCAGATGTTTTATGTAGAGTGCTACTCTTACAGAGATATGATTTCGGATATGGGACTTATGAAGGATGATCGTGTTATTAACCAGAATATATATATATATATATATATATATATATATATATATATATATTGTTTGATAACAATTTTGTTGTTGGCTCGGCCCATTGAAATAAAAAAGAAAGACATTAAAACCATCGGCCGATTGCTTTATTTGGATGAAAAGCCCGTGATAAGAGATTTTGATTAACGAGGTCAGCTATAGATTAAGATGATGTTTTGATTAAATTCTTAATTGGAAAATATTTTAAGAGTAAACCTTGCCTCTTATATAATGGAACAAATTTAAAATAAAAAAAATGGAATAAATACAAAACGTGAAAAACTTATGAATATATCGTTCATTTTGATAACTTATTGATTTTTTTCAATATTTTTTCCACGTGTTACCTTTACGTGTATTTTTATAATTTATAACTGCCATTATTTTTAGTTGCCTTTTTACTAAAGAAGTCGAGTAACAATCGCTTGGGATCAAGCGACAGCAAGCTCTATTATTATGTCTCACTTACGACTGTAATTTTCTTGATAATTCCTCTGTTCTCATTTGAAACTTTTTTCTTAGAAAGAGAGAGAAAGATGAATTGAAGAGAGAGACAGAGAATCGAAAGAGAAACACTAAAAAAGAAAACAGTGAAAAGCAAAAAGATAGAAAGAAAGAAAGAAAGAAAGAAAGAATGAATGAATGAATGAATGAAAGAAAGAAAATAGAGAAAGAGTAAAGCAAAAGAGAGAAGAAACGGCGATGTTAAAAAGATAAATAAGAAAAAGAAGACAAGGGCAAGAAAAAGAAAGAAATTAGTGAAAGGATGGGCCAAAAAAATGAAATATGGAAAGAGAGAGGAAGTAGAAAGGAAGAGAGCAAATAGAGAAAGAGGTGGGGAGAGACGGAGAAGGAATAAAGACATAGAGAGACTAAAGAGGAAATAAACAAAACCAATGAAAAGGAAATAAAAAGAGAGACACAAATACTGATTAATGTCTTTTAGATTTACGAAGAATTAGCGAGTTTCAAACGTGGCAAAAATTGGAAGTATTAAATTTTTAGCTTCTTCGCAATATAGCTCAGGAATTTTGGTTTGACCAATTTCAGACAATCAAACAAAATGTCAAAATTTGTAGAAATTTCTTTGTTAGTATTTTCCACACTGATATATATATATATATATATATATATATATATATATATATATATATATATATATATATATATATCAAAGTATTGGGGAAATTGTATGACGAAATGGAAAAAAACACTTATGACGCGTTTCGTACTTCTGGACATCCTCGGACTAAATTTGTTATGTTTCTAGTTTAGTGTTGTTTTTTTTTGGTTTTTTTTTGTTTATTTTTTAAATTTTGTGGGATGGACAATTATGCAGTTACACGATATGGACAATGTTTCTGTTACACCCGATATATACACCGTAAACATTTTGATGTGCTTTGCTTTGCTTTACGGCATATCAACCACAATGGTTTTTTTTTTATGCCGACAAGATTTTTATTACTTGTCATATTTTTTCTTCAAAAATTAATTGCTGGTATTAAAACCTATTTTTACATTTTCACAGTGTTTTGAGTCCAGTTTGGGGGTTGCCTATAGCTTGGACCCTAACAGGTGCTACCACTCGGGATGGACCTGGGAACAATAGCCATTAAGCGGTGGTTCCACGCTCTTCAGAACCTCTTAATCAAAGGCCTTGCTGTTGGACGTAGTTCGTAGTCTTACCTAGGACTTTGATGTAGTTTATCGTTTTACCAAGGACGTTAAACTGCTTGGATTACTTGGGCATATTATGTGTGGATATAGACGGGTCCAAACCCTCGATAGTTTTGTTAACATTAATCTGTTTTCTTTTCTACTGATATCTTTTCCTTTCTCGTTTGCTTTCTGTTCTTTTTGGCTATTCAATAAAAAAAAAACTATATTTTTTGTTGTTGTTTATTGTTCTTTCATGTAATACATTCTTACGTGCGTTGCGTTAGTTCATTAGCTTTGTGTCAGTAGAAGACGCAGCATGTGAAGAAAATCCGGTAAAACCAACAACGTCAAACAAAGAACAACATTCGTGTCAAAAAAAAAAAAGAAAAAAAAAACCGCGAGAAGTTGCGTTTGACATTTTCAAATTCAGGTGAAAATTACATTCCTCCTTTCACGCTGGTCTGCTCCTAATTAGAATTTCACTGACGGGACGAAATCCAAACAAAAACAAACTTTATCCAGCACCTTAATTTCCGACTTAATTAGAAAACAGATTATTTTTTCGAATTATTTGCGTCGTTTTTTTTTTGTTTGGGTTAAATGATTAAAGATATTTTAAAGTGACCTTTTGGCTTTTCCTTGTCACTAAAATTACTCTTCTCTCTCTCTCTCTCTCTCTCTCTCTCTCTCTCTCTCGCCACACACACACGCACACACACACACACACACATATATATATATATATATATATATATATATATATGTATGTATGTATGTATATATATATATAGAGAGTTTATTTGGGCAGCAGATCATTATCTAAACATATATTGTTAAATATAACAGACAGTGAAAGTCTATTATGTCAGATGATGAGACGTTTTAATCTTTTTATGGTGGCTTTAATTTCGGGTGAAAATAATGTGAGAAAGGAACAGCTTAATAAAAAAATATTTCAATGTTGGACATTTTTTTTGTCTTTATTTTCACCCGAAATCAAAGCAACTATACGAAGTTTAGAACGACTCATAAACATAACAGACATGCATTGCCTGTTCTATCTCATAATATATGTTTAAACATTATATATATATATATATGTATTAGGTTTATATTTAAACATTATATATATGGGTATTATATATATATATATATATATATATATATAGGTTTATATTTAAATATTATATATATATATAGACATATATATATATATATATATATATATATATATATATATATATATATATATATATATATATATATATATATATATATATATATATATATATATATATATATATATATATATATATATATATATATATATATATATATATATATCCTACAGTTCAAAAGTTTGAGGAAACTATGGTTAATTTTTTTTATGACGGTTCCGTATAGG